CTATTTCACAGACGGATGAAAATGACTCTCTATGGTTCACGTTACTCTGCTCTATCTGTGCAGTCACATTACATTTTATATGCTTTCGTTACCTGGTTTCGGTGCTTCACACCCATTAACTCCTACACGCATAGTAATGTAAGCCTGCCATGTCTGTGGTCTAAAGCGAATAGCAATGGCCTTGATTGGTTTGGATAGTTCATTACGTACTTCGGTATTACTATCACTATTTCCTTGGAAGACCTTGATAATAAAACAGGTAAAATTCAGTATTTATAACTGTCTTTCTCAAGAGTTCTCACACCCAGAGGAAGGTGACACGGGTGGCCTAGTTGTTAAGCTGCTGGCCTCTCACCGCTGTGGTCCGGGTTCGATTCTCGGGCACGAAGGACCATATGTGTGAGTTTGAGTTTGTTTGATGTGTTGTTCTCTCCCTTGCCACGAGGGCTTTTCTCCGCGTCCTCCGGTTTTCCTCCCTCAGTAAAAAGCTACATGTAAGGAGTGTTGTGTTCAAAATATTTAATGTAGAGGTAGTGAGTGTGAGAGTATAGAGGGYCACAAGTTAATCAGTTCTTCACTGTCACRTGTTTAYCCWCTTAAAATAAAGTTGATTCAGGATTGATAGATTTAATATATAATAAGTAAAAATGGGGGTTGTACTGTATGTATTTTAAGGCCGATTTAGACGAYACAACTTTTCTCTACAACTATCGCATGCGACCTGCGTAAGTCATCCTTACAACATGACTACAACTGTCKTGAGGCTATTAAGCAATTGTTTAAAATCCTTACGACAGTTGTAGCCATGACGTAAGGATGACTTACGCAGGTTGCATGCGATGGTTGTAAGCAAAAGTTGTGTCGTCTAAATCGGCCTTTAAGTGGAAAGAATGCCGTTGAAATACTGTCATGAGGACGATTGTTGATAGAGCGGATTTCGTATGAGTGGGACACCGTTACTGCACGGTTACCGCACAGTTACCGGACCTGGCCTGCAAAATTTTGGTGAACCAATGGGGCACTAGAATTTGGTTACAGTACGATTACGGTGACAGTACAGTACCGTCCGTTTCCCACTCATACGAAATCCGCTCTATTTTTACCGATAGGAATTAAGTGGTTATTTGGTTTTGATCCTATATATTGTGCATTAAGTGCCTTAAGAAGTATTTCCCCCCAAAAGTATATCATTAACACAAGGCATGGCAAACCACTACTTTTCATCCTATATATTGTCTTTCAGAGAACTTTCAGGTCAGATTTAGGCCTAACCATCTCATTAGGTTTATCGTGAATCTTATTACACATACACACAAGTGAATATCTTAGTCGCAACCTTTTGTTGCAGTTAACCATAGTGCCGCAACCTTTGGGTTCTGATATAAAATTGCTTCCCGCCACACCCATTTAGTCCGCGCGCCGTCTCGTCATTTCTTTTACTGGAAATTCTAGTCCGATGCTCTCAAATTTTCTAACCCTTCACCACCCCCTCTCCCGCCCCCGCACACACACAAAAATTATAATAGTAACTTATTATAAATAACTATAGCTTACTTTGAGTTGTCCGTTTTCTTTGTATGGGACGAAATCAACCTCATTCTGGCTGTATTCAATGGTGTAGCTTTTAACCCATTGTTTCAAATGGATGCGTCCTTTGGTTCGAACGGCTGTGACGTTCATCAGCCTATCAAATGTTACTTGAAGCCACTGGTTCTTATTCCTTTGGTTGCTGGCTACTGCCCATCCGCCTRATCCTWTCTCTGCGCCTCCAATTATTCCATTGTAAGGTTTTAATCCTAGTCTACCGTGCGATGATGAAGCAGACATCATCGGGCCAGTTATCTCTATTGGTCGTTGACAGACTAAAGATCGAAGGAATTAATTATTCATTCGCATTTTTTAGCACAGGCCGACACAGGATGGTTCTTAGGTAATGGATACAAGTCTGGCTTTTGTTATGAACTCTAGAACTTCTAGAAGCCAGTTCTTACACACTATACGTGTACATTGGACTAATTTAATATCAGCGTCATGATTTTAGGTGCACACGAAAATGCCGGATTCCTGGATTTCTTACAAAATAAGCGCGAATCGTCTTCCATCCTTTCAGTTTGGACAAAAATATGTATTTAACCACAAATACTATCAATTTATAATCTATTGCTTGCTTGACGCATTTAATATAAAAATAATAGAGTCAATTTCGTATGAGTGGGAAACGGACGGTACTGTACTGTGACCGTAATTGTACTGTAACCAAATTCTAGTGTCTCATTGGTTCACTAAAATTGTGCAGGCCAGGTCCGGTAACTGTGCGGTAACGGCGTCCCACTCATACGAAATTGACTCTAACACGAGCGCGCGCTGTATTGTAGTTGGTAAGGATAGTAGCTGATGTAGTCGAATTTTGCTGTYAGTGTATCAATTACCTGGAGGCGGTGTTGTTGGTTCTGCTTTTGTTGGCTCTGAATTACAAGAAAAACGCACAAACCAATTTTATATTAAAAATCCAGAGCAATAATGGAACAAAAATTCAAAAAAGGGGGAGGAAGAACCCCGGTTTAAAAGTACCGGGCATGCTCGTCGGATMTCTTAGGGTGCCAATTTTTCGTGGAGTTTCTGGAAATCTGCTGCATTTTCCGCGATCGTTTAGGGCCGTCGGAAAAGAAGAGATAGATATTGATTTTTCTCTGCGTTTTGTTTTTTGTCATTAAATATTTTGTACATTTTATAAAATTGGAACTGATTTAATTTAACAATATTTGTCGTGCAATCTCTTAGGGGCTAAAAATCAGTCAGCCACGCCCTTTTTCAAGATTTTCGGCCGTCTTTTAGTACTCTTTTTGAAAACTTCCGACGAGCATCCCCGGTACTTTTACGCCGGAGTTCTCTCTCCCCTCTCCTGATCAAGCGTACGTTTTGCCCGATAGATGGCGCAGGGAACCGTGAAGAAGACTAATATTAGGATTCTTAGCTTCATCATAAAGAAAACCATATTTGGTCACATGAATAAAAGATGTTTGTTACATCGTRACCATAATAAAATGCAGAAATTATCGCTGCGCTCGGTCTGTAGTTCCCGACCCCAGTCAAGATTCTCCCGTACAGACCGAGCAAGCTCGGTTAATAAGACCTAAATATTTCTCCGTTGCAGAAAAATCTCTGTTCAACACTCGAAGAAAAAGTCCGTATCCCCGCGCGCCCATGTAATATCCTGTAATAATGTATTTGGCAGCATAGACAAAATATTTTTGTGCCGAATCTATACCACAATGAATGCAAACTGCTATCTTAGAAAAGGTTTATGGCTTTTTAGCTATCATACCCGGCTCTGGTGCTTCGCAACCATTTACTCCTACACGCATGGCCGGRTAGCCTTCCCATGTTTGTGGTTTGAAACGAATAGCAATGGCTTCAATAGGTGTKGAGAACTGATTACGCTTTTCGGTATCGCGGTCAACATTTCCCTGAAATTCCTAATAAATGAAAAAAAATATCGTTAAGTTAWTCAACTATTGAAACATTGTTACGTTTTCATGTCGAATTTTATGGTCCTAGAATATGYSAACATAGACGTTTTTGCACTGATCGTGTTGACAAAATTATTATTATATTTTCTTGGCTTCAATTTACAAAATGAGAAATGAAAAAAAAATACAGATCATGGCAGGGGACCCCACAACAGCGTAAGGCAATTACGTGGACCTTGCRTTATTCTCATAAGTTAGTGTACAATCCCAATTTACTAATTCCTTGTGTCTTAGTAAATACTAATATACTATTAATATATTATATATTATAAAACTCATTAATATTCATAAGGCAAAACACAATAGAAATCATAGCCCATGAAGAGAGTTGTATATTACATACAGATTTCTTGTTCATTTGCATAAACTTTAACTCTGATTTTCTCGGTCAGATCGATTTTTTTTTCAAAAGTTTCTTTAAAACCTGAGCTAGTTTACCTCAACGTTTCATAAGTAATATACAATATTCGCGGGCGATCTGTATGAGGTTTAAAACAGCTCGCTTTCAGCTCGCTGTTTTAAATCCTCATACAGATCGCCCGCTCATATTGTATATATTACTTATTACCTTGATTTGTCCGTTTTCTTTATATGGCATGAAATCAACCCCATTCTTACTGTATTCAATGCTGTAGGTCTTAACCCAATGATTCACTTTGGAGCGGCCTTTGGTTCGAACGGCTGTGACAGTCATCAGCTTATCAAATGTTACTTGAAGCCACTGGTACTTGTTCCTTCTGTCCCTGGCTACTGCCCATGCGCCATATCCTATATCTTCACCTCCTATTATTCCATTTTTAGGTTGTAAACCTGGGTGAAAGTGCGATTTAGAAGCCGACATCATCCTTCCGGTTAACATAATTTCTTGACCACAGTCTGAAGATTTGGCGATGGAGGAATCTATAGGGAGAATGAATATATTTTGTTATTACGACATGCAACTTTCATATAATCCGCTTCACTTAACTATAAAGCCAGCTGTAAAGATGCTTTTAAAAAGTATAGAATTTGCGAATAACATAAAATAACAACACTAAAAAGAACAGTTTCCATGAAGAGATAATGACAATGTATGTAATAATAAGTGCGCTGATTTTTTAGATTTTCCTCGAACTTTTTTGGCATACGTTTCAGCCAGTATGGACTAAAAATCCTCGGATCCGGAGCTTTCTACATACTTTTTACGTAATGTTTAATTTGTCTAACGTGAATTTGTTCCCTATTTGTAAATGAACTTTTCCAAAGGTGCTGTGCATCATTATCATCTACTTCAAGACATGGATAATCTGCTCGGATCTGGAAAAATCTATAACTGATCTCTACATCGTGTGAACTCGAAGTCTACTAAGAAGGTACATTTATAAGTAGCCACAACGCAACTTAGATGAGCAAAAATTAACATTGAGAAAGTACAGTGGAGAAAGACAGAATATAATTGTGACTTTTCTAGTGTTTCCCGCGCCCTTAATCTCTGATGCAGAACCAGTGGACTGTACGACCATTCAAACTATTACTTACCAAAAGTGCTCAGAATCAAGCAAAATATTGCGAAAAGTAACTTCAACTTTTCCATACTCTTATCGTCGCTGTTGTGATTGCACGATTGGAGAGCAAAGAGTGCCAAAATCAACCTTCAGTTGGATCGGTGGCTGCTCACAAAAATACAGATTCGTTTGGTAAGGGCGCAGGCTAAGTCAGGTTCCTACTGTATGCTTCACTAGATCAAGTACCGATCTTATATACAATTTGATTGGGTAGTGACTTATCCTTGCACAATGCTGGTCTTAACGTTACCTGAATGCAAGGATTAGAGGATATTCGTATGAAAGAAAATCTCAGATTAGTTGGTAAATTACTTATTAACTGAATTTTATTATCATCTGAAGTAATGTACTACAGTTATCATTCATTATTGTGAAATACAAAATTGTAGCAAGAACTGATGAACTAAAGAAGTGCTATCGCTTAAATTATTGCACATATTCAAATATCCCTCAATCAAATTATTTTGTCCATAATTAAGAAGTATGCATGACTGGAGCARCGGGCATTCTAACTCTCTCCGCTTGAGTTTTTGCTAGTCTRTATGCAGCCACATCGTCCTTGACCTCTTGATGATAGGAGGAACAAATTCTCCTCACACGACGATGTATAATGCGTATAATAATCAGTCAAATTGCTTATGTTTAGCTTCTTTAATTTGATTACATATTCATTTTTGATTTAGAGCTTTAGCCGTTAATGTCTTTTCTGCTTTGTATAGGGAAATATCTTTGATCTCCTTCAACAATACTGTTTCGTTCAAGTTGAGTTCCTTTGAAGTCGATGCCTTAAAAATGCAAGAAATCACCGCAAATTACACCATCGCACGGAAATCACAAGAKGATTTTCTGCCTGCAAAATAGTTTGATTTCAGGGGCATACCAATGTTTTTTTATATAAAAAAGTTATATTAAAGATTTTAGCCGCAGGGACGTAGAAAACGGTGAAGGACAGATTTCATACATGTGCACCTCGCCATGAAGGAATGATTACCCGCAGAAGTTATGTACTTCTGTTACTTCTTTTTTTACGGTGTTAAATTTATCTTTTTACACAACTGTTTCTTTTTAGAAACACCGACGCAGCTCACACTAGTTTACCGCTAGTTCCCACCGCTTCTGTTACCCGACAAGGCGATCATGAGTCTCCAGCGTGTCGTCTTCTATGCCATAATAACTGATGAATGACTCCTGTTTATTCACAAAATGTTTTTTTTTTATTATTGAGAGCTTAGGTAATGAACGGCCCATGTTTTCAGTGCTAATTAAATTACAAATGACTCTTTTAATTTATGTTTATTCAGAAAATGGTCATTTCTTTAGAGCATTTTGGTAATTAACGGCCCTTGATGTCTTTTTTGGGCATTAAAGATGACATACAATTTTGATTCTTAAATTATGTATTCAGAAAATGGTCATTCCTTTGTCTTGCATGCCCATAGATTTGCCAGAGACTATGCCTTTTCCGTTCCAGTTCCATGSCTCTRAGACGATGGTTTGTCCCGTCAATGCACGAAAATCGAAATCCTCAAAAATGTCAACCTTATAGATTAAAGTAGTGATATAGATTTAGCTTGAGATCCACGTTCCTTTAGCTCAATTATTGCCCCAAAACACTTGGAGCATATTATTTGTCTCCAGCCTAGTAATGATTATTCTTGCTAAATTATGACAACGATGCATTTAGGGGGTCAGGGGGATGAAATTGTCTCCGGGTAAATGAGGAAATTCTCTGAAATGGACCAAGGATTTTGTCAACTATTATAGGTAGGTAGGGTTTGAGTTTTAAGACAGGCCGGTGAACACTTGTACGGTTTATAGCATACGGGTTTCCTGCAGTCCTGCAGGGCTACCGGCTTACCGGCTTAGATGATGTAGCTCAGTACGATGTCGTCTCGCAGTAGACAAGACGGCAAAACAATCTACGAAGTCCCTATAAAATGCTTTTATATGTGTATGTCGATTTAAGTGAACAAAAAACAAGCAATTTCGCGGTTGTTTTCTACACCTATTACCTATTAACTTTCGGTGGATTCGCGGGTTGCCTTTATGCARTAATTCCGTGTAGACTAGAACCCACTTTGCGAGGATTGGTCAAATCGTGTCACGTGATGGGTAGTTTTCSTCCATTTCAAATGTTGTTCGTTGATTCTTCCCGCTCATAAACTAAACAGCTCATCATTTTTCCTCATTTTTTCCTCAAAAAAAAGTTTAGTTGATGATTTCTGAAGCACGAGGAAACTATGGGAGATGATCTTGATCTTGGGAAATTATCCTTGGAGGATAAACTTACGCATAAGGTAAAAAATACCGGTAAAATTTGCTGGAACTGCAGTTGGCCTGGCAGAATGTCAGAGCGAAATCGTACATCTTGAACGATTTGGTTACAACACTGTATTTATGTCTGCAGGTTTGGAAAGCTCGTGTTAATGGCTACGAAGAATTGACAAAGATATATAAACAAGCTACCAGTGAGACAAGCAGTGAATTCTCAAAGTATYTGGGTAATTTCAAAAAAATAGTMATCGATAACAACGCCGTTGCACARGATAAAGGCCTTGARKCAGTTCTTGCATTCCTTGAAAATGCTTCACCAACGATTAGTGGAAAGTAAGTATTATCCCTATATTTTCTTTATTATATAGAACTTTTGTTGAATATAAACGAAAATTGTAGTCTTTTTAGGGCGTATTTTGGGATTAAAATTGCGTATTTTTAGATTAAAATTCATGAAATTTCAAATTATTATGTGTGTTTTCATTCCTAAAATTCGTTGTCATCTATATTTGGAAATCTTGAAATTTGTCCACATGTATAGTACAGCATATTTATATTCTTTAACATTCATTGTAAAAGAGATTTCGTAATTTAGACATACATGTAATTTGTACTAAGAAGTTATGTTGATTAAGCTTAGATTTCTCAGCAAATGTACAATTTTGGTGCCAATTCAAAGTTTTATTGTATTGACATCAATTTTTCCTCATAAATTTTTTTTATCTTATGTATTTGATATCTTAAAAACCAAAAAGCATTGATATTTGTTACCAATAATTTGATAATATAACTGTAATGTAATTTGAAATTGTTTTACTTGCATGCCCTATTGTATAATGACTTCAAGGCATTTAATATTGGGAAAAAATTCTTAAAAAAAACAGTGAAAACTTGTTAAAATAGTGTTTTAAGGCTGTAACACACAAGGGATATTGCTCCTGCAGCAAGCGATCACAACATATTTGACCCTAGCGCTTGCTCCCTCATATTTAACTAATTTGATACACAGGAACAAGACTTGAGAGTAAAAGTTTTGTTGCTCAAACGTTTTTTTTGGCCTGAAATCATTAGCGCAGAGGAGTTGCATTTGCTTCAGGAGTGTGTTTCAAGACTGTGTTGTCGGGACAAAGATCCCTCATGTGTACCAGACTTTTGTCAATGAAAACCCTGTATAGTAAGGGTTGTGAAATTTTTAATGAAATTTTGAACCATCAAAAGGATACAATCTACAATTCCTTGCAAGTGCATAATAATGTGTTCCACATACTCATATCTTTACATTTCAATTATTGCAAACTAACATTATTTAGATCGTCCTGACCTGCTCCTAGTCTAACCTTTCAGCTAAGCATGGTAGAGCATTGGTAGTAAAGATCTGGGGGTTGTGGGTTCATATGTCATCGACCATTGAGGAATAGTCTCCTTCACGGTTACCTGCGCCATCTTGAAAGGTAGCCGTGCCTTGTCATCGAAGCGAGACAACCGTTGAGTGTGCAATGATAGAAACCTTCTTTCACACCTATAGACAATTATTCAGAGGTATCTATCATTGCACACTCAACGGTCGTCTCGCTTTGGTGCAAAGGCACGGCTATCTTTCAAAATGGCGCAGTTATCCGTGAAGGAGAGTATTGCCTGGAATTACCTCCTTCTAAGCACTATTCCTGTCCTTTATTCCATTCCTTACATTGTACATGTACATAATAATTGTATTTTTATATCAGGGTTGCTGGTGATGTTATTAGTGGATGTGTGTTAAAATGTTTTAATGCAAGACCCAAGACTAAGGAAAAGGGAATAGAAATAGTAATGATGTATGTTGAAGTAGAGAAGCAAGACATTGTACAGGTAAACTASAAWGCATTGGGTTCCCTGTGTTATAACATGTGGATACAATTTTTGTATAACTACATAATAGTACATAGATGGTGACCAGTCCTTTGCAGGCAACTATATTCGGCATGATTCCTTTGAGCTGTAGGGGTGAGGAACGAATTCATAATCTCTTTGCACCAGTTTGTCTCGGTCAGGATAAATCAACACAGGAAGACTTCTTTTCAGTGACTACTTTTTAATTTTTAGCAACTATTAAATTTTAACCCGTTTTTCCTTTTTCTTTTCAAAAAATTAGACGAAAAACTCCTTAGTGACTTTTTGTAAAGTGTTAATTGTTAGTTAGTGTAAGTTTTGTAAACGTATTCAAATTATTGTGATAATTGTTATTGTATTTAATAAAAAAAGGAAGACCAAGGAAAGAATAATTAGGAGGCTATTATTTGCAATAGTTTGAAAGAACAACATGGCTGATTATAATTATTGTCCTCATCAGCTGATTCAAACAAGCCTAATATAAATACAATTTCCTATTGTTCATTCATAGTTAAATCATGACAAACAACAAACATAGTTGCCTAGACTGRTCCAGGCTCAAAGGCCACACTTTAATACAAATATACATGTACTGTAGAACAAGTTGTACAACTTTAAATAGCCAACTTCTACAGAGCTTGGACCACACTGATTTCACAATTCCTGACACCTCCTTACAGTATATAGCATTATAAAATGTAACACATTATCATACTAGCTTCAGGCCACTCTCTCACATAGGAACACATAAAATTCTCTCTCCATTCCAACTCAGAACTCGTTGTTCATTCCAAGAGAAATACAATTTTATGTTGTGTGGATTATAAATCTTACTTTCTTACATTGTTGTAAATTGTAGGAGGAATTGCTAAAAGGCTTAGAGAATAAACAGCCCAAAATTGTTGCAGCTTSTACAATGGTTCTAAGACAAATTATAAGGTAAATATAAAAAGWTTGACTAGAYGTCTAMAATGCCTGTGGCAATACTATAACCTTGGATTCCTTGGACTAACAAGCATTGCCTGCAGTTTGTTTGGTRCAAAACTGCAAACAACTGGCATCACAGRTTTTATGTACCTACGGCATCCTAAATGAATATTTACGTATAATTACAGATGCCTAAGTATCTAGTGGCTAATAAAGACAATATCTGTTTTTGTGAGTAACAATATTATTTATTATTATTATYTTTTCAGTTGCTTCGGAGGAAAGATATTTTTATTGAAACCTATAGTTAAATGTTTACCTAAGCTGCTAGACCATAGTGACAAGACCGTTAGAGAAGAGGTATGATATGTACATACATGTATGTATGCATAAAATTCTATTGCAGTGTACTTAAGTGCAGTTTACAACTTTTCATTATGCTGTACCAGAAACCTATAAAAAATTTGAAAAAGAACGTTATGACCATATTTGGAAAGTTTGGCTGTTGGATAAGAGGCCCATTCTGGTTGACTATAGGGTAAATCTAATTGTTCCAAATAAGGAAATGAGATGCAAATTAGATTTGAATATTCCAACAGTTGGCATGGCATTACACGTTTCAAGTCCCTTACAGGTTTTTGGCTGTATGAAATAGGGTTTTTTTAAAATTTGACCATTGGATAAGAGATTTAGGCCTGTTCTGGTTGGCTATAGGGTAAATTTAATTGTTCAAAATAAGGAAATGAGATGCAAATTAGATTTGAATATTCCAACGGTTGACATGGCGTTACACGTTTCAAGTCCCTTACAGGGTTTCTGGCTGTATTAAATAAATTCTCTTTGTTCAACAAACTTTTTTACTTAACAAGAAAGATAACAATCCATTAACGGTCGTACGTTTTTTGGTAGTGTACTGTAGTGTATTTGTCTTGCAACATTTTTCAATAAATTATGATGTTATATTGAATTATTGTTCATAATATCTTTGCATTAGGCCAAACAGTTATGTATAGAAATCTTCAAATGGATTAAGGATGCTCTTAGAGCACAGCTACAAAACATCAAACCTGTACAGGTATGGTATATATCAAGACTATAGTGTCCAACATTTGTTACTAATAATCATTTTAACAATGTTTATTTTATTTGTTTAAGTTAAAAGAGTTAGAGGATGAGTGGGCAGCTTTACCACCAAATCCACCAGCACCAACAAGACTTACCAGAACACAGCAAAAGAAACTAGAAGAACAGCAAGCACAGGGGATTGTACCTGAAGCTGCTGAAGGTTTGTTGAATTGAAATAGATGGTTAGAAAAACAGGATATAAGCCTTAATTTACAGAATCAAGAATGCGCAGTAAGAACAAGCCTCCATGCAAGACAGAGAATTTCTTAGAGAAATGTCCTTGGATAAAGAATAGAGATTGGACATTAGGGACAGTTTATTACATATCTATGGGAGGAGGGGTTGTGTGTGGCAAATTTTGGGGTGGTCAGGGTGGTTTACTTTTTGCAATAATGAAAATATCAACCCCCCCACCCATCTCCCCGTCACATAAAAGTTAAACAACCCCTAATTTTTTCTGAAGGGTGATTTCTAATCTGCTTGTAAGTAACTCATTTGCTTTCACAATACACTAGAATGTGATGGTGGTGACAATGAAGGAGGAGGAGGAGCAGCAGCAGCCATTGAGATTGATCCATATGAGATGATGGACGCTGTAGAGATCCTCACTAAACTACCAAAAGACTTTTATGAAAATCTGGTAAGATACTGGAGATCATTTTATGTACTTTTGTAGAACAAAGATAGAGTGAACCATACAATAGTCTCCTTCACGGTTTTCTGTGGAATCTTCAAAGGTAGTCGCACCTTTGCATTCAAGCGAGGCAATCGTTGAGTGTGCAATGATAGAAACATTTCACACCTAGAGACAATTATTCACAGATATCTATCATATTGTACACTCAATGATCATCTCGCTTTGATGCAAAGGCACGGCTACCTTTCAAGATGGTGTAGAGAACTGTGAAGGAGACTATTGTCATAAAGCAAATGTTCTGAGACCATTTGTACTAAGACTGACTAGTGCTACCACTGGCTATATATTATCCAGCCTACAAAATCTATAAGAATCAGGGATTCTGGAATTATGCGTGAAAAAATTATGCGGGATTATGCGCAAAATTACGCGCTTAAAACCTATAAAATATGACTAATTCGGATTAGGAAACTCAGTTATTTTGTTTCGTTTTATAAAAGAATGGAATATTAAGCATTATAGATACATGATCTTTTCCATTTAAACATAAGTATATAGCTAATATGGCCAAAAGAGAGAACAATTCTTGTAAACGTCCGCCATCTTGGAAACCGCCAATGGCTGTGGAACCTGGGCCGAGCCACAGGAAACCCATCACTAAATGAATGTCATAAAAACAAAATGGCGTCGCGCGCACGTATGGCGTTGTTTTGTTAAAAAATGATACTTTAGCACTTTGTATGACGATAAAAAAGGGAAAAAAACAATACTCAAGCCAGACGCAAGATAGATAACATATATATTGATTTTTTGACAAATTATGCGGGATTATGCGGAGAATGGCCGATTATGCGGGTCCGCATCAGCGCATAATTCCAGAATTCCTGAAGAATCCTAGTGTAACTTAATTATCTACTCTTGATATTGCTTGCAAATTTTTACAGGAGGCCAAAAAGTGGCAGTTGAGAAAAGAAGCACTGGARGCTTTGGAAAAATTGGTTTCC